TGGTTTTTCGCCATGTTCGGCCTCTGGGGGCCCTCACCGGGCCTCGGGACCGTCAACAGAACGACCAAGGATGAAAAGCCGGCCCCAGACCTCTGGCGGTCGCGTCATGGAGAGATCACGACCTCGGGGGTCTGGGGGGACGCGCAGCAAGAGACCATGTGCTTTTCGCGGGGGTGCCCCTAGATCCTGGCGTTGCAGTTTTTGTCACACCGGGCGTTTGCGCCCAGGTTCGGGCCCGGGGGCCCTCGCAGTTCGATCCAGCTCGAAAAATGAAGCAGCAAGATGGTGTCTGGGGCTGTGGTGCTTGCGTTTTGCGATGTTACATTTTTTTGCAACGGCGGATCTCAGGGTACCCTTGGTTTCTTCGCTGCGCGCGCTGCGCTGTGACTTCCCGCGGCCGTTGAAGAAGCTCCTGCGTTCAGGGTGCTACTGTTAAGTCGGGCGTGTCCCCCTGCAGGGGGATTTTCGACGAAACATTAAAAATATTCAAAACATATTCCAAAATGGTCAAACATATTTTTAAATTATCCCAGTGCGACCCTACCTGGGAGTTGAAGCCCTTAGGAAAGCAGCATGAGTAGTAACAGCAAAGCTAAGCTAAAGCTAAAGCTAAGCTAAGCTAAGCTAAGCTACGATGAGAAAAGCTATGCTAAGCTAAGTTTGGCTTAGTTATCCCAGTGCGACCCTAAGCTAAGCTAAGCTAGGCTAAGCTTAATAAGCTTAGCTAAGCTAAGTAAAGCTAAGCTGAAGCTAAGCTGAAGCTAAGCTGAAGCTAAGCTGAAGCTAAGCTAAGCTAGGCTAGGCTAAGCTAAGCTAAGCTAAGCTAAGCTAAGCTAAGCTAGGCTAAGCTAAGCTAGGCTAAGTACAGCTAAGCTAAAGCTAAGCTACGATGAGATAAGCTAAGCTAAGCTAAGCTAAGCTAAGCTAAGCCAATATAAGCTAAGCTAAGCTAAGATGAGATAATCTAAGCTAAGCTAAGCTAGGCTAGGCTACGCTCAGCTATGCTAAGCTAAGCCTAGCTTAGCTGCGCTAAGCTAAGCTAAGATTAGCTAAGCTAAGCTAAGCTAAGCTAAGCTAGGCTAAGCTAAGCTAGGGGAACCCAGGGGGCGCAATTGGGGGAACCGCGGGGCGGGGACTGGGGGAACCGCCCGGGGCGCGTTCCACTGCCCGGCCTCTTTAAGCTAAGAGAGTAAGAACCCTCTAGGCAGAGCCTAGGTAGGGAAATAGTCCCCAGACGATTTTTTAACTAGTTTTGAATATTCCCCCTGTAGAGGAACAGGCCCGACTTAATGCTACTGGGCCCTCGCGGGCTTTCCTTGGGCGGGGTTTCTTGCGAGGGTTTCTCGCGGCCGCGTCCGCACTGCAGATGGGGCTCGGAGGATCACGCCGCAGCGTCGCCTGGTTCCTCCACGCAGACACCGCCGATGCATCGCAGATGTTTCGGCGATGCATCGTCGACGCAGCGCGAACCTCCGACCCCGACTACTCGGACCCCACTTGGAAGGCCTCTAGTAGGGGAACGAACAATGACGTAAACATAAAAGCTGGGAGGTCCGCGCAGATTTCGTGGGTTTGCGCTGGACCCCCCTCCCTGGCGCGCGGAGCGCGCCAGGTGCGGCGCCGGAGGCGCCGCCGGGGGGGGGCCCCAGCGTCGATCCGAGAAATCCGCGCGGACCTCCGAGCTATCATGTTTGTGTCATTGTTCGTCCTCCTGTCTAGGCACGTTGCCGTCGCACGAGCAGGCTCCCGCGCTGGCTCTGGAGAGCCGGGACCGCGGCGACCAGCTCGACAGGCAGCCCAGGCAGGCCAGGCACGAGAGCGGCGAGCACGGGCCAGCCAGGCAGGCGAGCGCAGAGGACGGGGGCGTCCGGGGCGGGGGGGTCAACGGTGAGGGAGGGACGAGCAAGACGAGGGGAGGGCGAGGAGAAGGAGGACGAGGAAGAGAAGGGTGGAGAGAGAAAGGATGAGGAGGAGGAGGAGGAGGGGAGGAGGAGGAGGGGGAGAAGGAGGAGGAGGGGGGGAGGAGGAGGAGAGGAGGAGGAGGAGGAGGAGGAGGAGGAGGAGGAGGAGGAGCAGGAGCAGGAGGAGGAGGAGGAGGAGGAGGAGGAGGAGGAGAACGAGAACGATGACCACGAAGAGGGGCACGGCCTACGGTTCACATCACCGGCCCCGCTCAAAATGTTGGAGGGGTGGGGGCTTCGGGGGCCCCGGTCCATGGAGACTGAGGGTCCCGCCGCGTCAGCGTCAGAGGGAGGAGGCGGGGACGTGGGACGGGGGGAGGGGAGCGGGAGGGCTGCTGATGAGGATCATCATCATGAGGCAGAGTTGTAGGAGCAGTGCGGAAAACATGGTCACGAAGGTCGACAGCAGTTCTGTCCATGTTAAGAAGGCCCCACTGCCAGTCTGGCCGCAGAAGGCGTCTATTTGGGACAAACTGCGCCTGCCCAACAGCGGACGCTGCTGGTTTTGGACAACGCTCGCACTTGGGCATCGGCTCCAGCTTTCCCGTACACCCATGAGAAGTCTAGTTTGGAATTTCTATGGACTCTTAGATTCCGCTTGAGAGTACTAAGAGTCTGGATTGGACCATGGGCGTTTCCTCGGAGCCTCTGCGTATATGTGGACCTATGTGGACCTGGACTGCGGTTTAAGACAACGCTTGGAGTGAGTTCAGATTCTTAGCTTGCATGTTTCTGAACTCGAAGCAGGGGTGTAGGGGGCGATGGAAGGAGACACGACGATGCACGACAGGGAGATGGGGGAATGCAGAGCAAGCCCAGGACGCGTCATCGATGCCACTTGCGCCCTCACTCACGGTATCTCTTGCCTGCAAGTCGATGCATGGGGCACCCTCCTTTCCGCGGCGAGCGCCCCTGGCTGGGCGCACGAGGGTCTCGCGGGCCTGCCAGGGGGAGGAGGTGGGGAGAGAAGAGTACTCCAGATTTCGTAATAAAAGGGAGGGGGTCTGGACCCTCCAAGACAAGCCATTTCAGACCTCCCCCGTCGGAGAACCCTCCAAAACATCGTCTCCAGACCCACCCAGGCCCTCCAAGATAGCCTGGAAGAGACCCCCCCCTCGAAATGAGACCCCCCTCCCTTTATTACGAAATCTGGAGTAATGATATGACGATGCTGACTAAGCGGAACGTTGATGGAGAGGATGGGGATGACAATGGAGGTGATGAGGACGCTGATGATGCCAGCAGTGATGATGCTGACTGCGGTGATCGTGACGACGGCGACGACGACGACGATGCGGATGCTGCTGATGCTGCCCACCACGAAGATGACGATGGCGATGGCGAAGGCGACGCTGATGCAGGCGCTCATGTCGATGAGGAGGGGGAGGGGGAGGGCGCAGCCTCGAGGACCGCATCCCCACGAGCCCGGTGCCGACCGCGGCGGCGTCGAGGCTGCGGGCGTACTCGGGCCTCCTTAAGGGTGGCCCTCGGGGGGATCCAGCGGGGGGGTGCGGGGGGCCAGGGGGGGCGGGGGGGGGGTGTCGGAGGCGGCGCGCTGAATGGCGGGGTGGTGGAGGAGGGCGAGGTGGATGGGGCGATGGAGGAGGACGACGAGGAGGACGAAGGAGAGAGAAGAGGACGGTGGCGAGGAGGAGGAGGAGGAGGAGGAGGAGGAGGAGACGGAGGAGGAGAACGAAGGAGCTTAGAGAGAGAGAGAGAGAGAGAAAAAAGAGAAAAGGTACCCCTACCGCTGCCCTGGCCTCGTCTTCCTCTTTGGGGGGCCTCCTGGGAGGCCCCCCCGTCGCCGCCGCCAGCTTCGCCTCGAAGTGCTGGTCGGGGCGCACGCCAGGAGAGGGCCGCGGCGTCGCGGCATGGGTGGCGTCTTGGCCTCCCCAGAGAACGCGAAGGAGCAGCAGCAGGGTCGGGAGAGGGATTTCGGGGAGGAGGAGGAGGAGGAGGAGTAGGAGGAGGAGGAGGAGACTTCTGGGCTGGGCCCTGCGCCTGGAGGGAGGTGTGCAGCACGTCCCGCGAATGCTGGCCCCTGCGGAGCAGGAGGAGCAGGAGGAGCAGGGGGAGAAGCAGGACGACGAGGATGGGGGAGAGGGACAGGGTGAGGAGGGACAGGACGAGGAGGACGAGGAGGAGGAGGACGAGGAAAGGAGGAGGGGAAAGAAGGAGGAAATGGAGGAGGGAGAGGAGGGATGAGAGAGGTGGAGGTGGATGTGGAGAGGGATGAAAAGGAGAAGGTTGAGATGGAGGTACACTCGGGGCGCTGAAGAAGGAACCCTTTTCGTTGGGGAGGGGCTCCGTGTTCCTCAATTGTTTTGCAGCAGGTGTTCGTGAGGTTTCCGATGGGAAGTCAAAGTTTAACTTACGGAAACAGGGGCCTCGTTCCTGATGTAGGGTTCCTTAGGTCAACGCCCCGACTGTAGAGGAACGATGGATGCCTCAGCAGTATGTATATCTCCTGGAGTCCCTGATGTCCGAACGTCGAAAGGCCTCAAGTGGAAGTATACTGGCATGGGCGTAGAGGAATCCGAGGAGGATGAAGGAGAGGCAGGAGGCGGATGAGGAGGTGGAGAGGGAGGACGATGCATGAGGACTCTGAAGGACATCGGGGCTGTGGAGGAGGGAGGAGGAGCAGAGGGAGGTCCCCTTGGGCCTGCCCAGGCTGGCGTGGTGCGAGAACACGCCGAGCATCTGGGGCGACTCCCCGGCCGCACCAGGGAGCGCCAAGTTTCCCACCCTGCGGCGCCGTAGCCCCAGCCTGGCCAGGCACTCCTGGCCTGGGACGTGCGCATGTCCAGCCCCGGACCCAGGAACTTGAGTTCTGCGTCGTCTTCTGCCTACGAAGTCTGGGCTTGGAAGGGGGCTTCTTCCACCATCTTTGAGGAGTCCTGGGTTTGCACTGGCCATCATCCTCCTCCTCTTCCTCCTCTTCCTCCTCTTCCTCCTCCTCCTTCTCCTCCTCCTCCTCCTCCTCCTCCTCCTCCTCCTCCTCCTCCTCCCTCTCGGGGCCTCAAACAATTCAAACGATACGGGTCAATGATTGGAGATCGGGGGAGGCGGCGCAGAAGCTGGTCGGCTCCTGGGTCCCCAGACATCCTGCGCTTCGATTTTCCGATGCGTAAGACTCCCCGACCTCGCGACCATTTGCCAGGGCTAGCTTTTCATCCAGGGGTTGTCTTCGACAGTTTCCGGGCCCGGGAACTGTCCCCCAGAGGCCCTTCAAAAATGGCCGCGCGACGGCCGCCTCGATGGGTCCGCCAGGGCACCGGAGGGCAGACGGCGCCTCGGACGCGGTGGTCTTGCCGTTGCCTTGCCGCGGTGTCGACTTCGTCTGCGTGGGCGCGGGACGCAGGGCTCGCCGTGGGTTTGCCGCGTCGTCCGCGTCGTCCACTTGGGCGCGTCGTGAACAAACGGCGCGGCGAGTGCCATTTTTTGCAGCGTGGGCCCCTGGAGCCCTCGACCTGCTTTCCCGGGGCTGGAGTTTTATCCTGCGCAGTCTTCGGCGGCCCGTGGCGAGGGCCTGGTCGTTGGCGCGAGCCGCAGGGGCGGCTCGTCGTGTTGGGCGCCGCCTGCAATTGGGTGGATCATCCGCCCGTATTTTTCCGACGATCCAGCTTTACTCAGGCCAGCCACAACTGGGGGAGCGTGGTTCTTACCCCCCTGGGGGGCCCATCGATTTCGACACCCCTCTCGAGAGATCGTCGATGCGATGGGTTCCCCCAGAGGGGCAAGGACCACAGCTCCCCCAGTTATGGCTGGTCGGTTATTTCGAGAGGGCGGGCCCTATTCTTGACCTCCAGGCCTCTGGAACGGAAAAGGCCCTGGGGCCTGGCGACGGCCCCCAGAGCGCGCAAAAATCGTGAAACCACCGCCCGTCGCGTGTTTTGTTCGCGGCGCGAGGGGGCCTCGGAGGCAGGCGTACAGTGAGCGGCTTGAATAAGGAACGCTTACTTTTCAAAAGGGGCTCGGTCGTTCCTTAGGCTTGCATGCGTTATGTATCGTTCCCTATGCATTACGTATTATTAGTTCATCGTTCCCTATGCGTTATTCCTTGGAAGACAGGGGCTTCGTTCCTTATTTATCGTTCCTTAGGTCAGGCCGATGACTGTGGGATCGGGAGGCAGCTCGCTTCAGACCGGTGCCGAGCGTTTTCAGAGCGGTCTGGAACGCTCCGAGACGGCTGCGCCGCCCGAGGCATCTTCGTACAGTGGAGGCCCATGCCGAGGAGCACCCTGCCTGCCTCCAGGGTGCCCTGGGTTTCTCGGGTTTCGATGGCTTTGCTGTGGAGAGCGTGACCTTCTCACACCGGGTCTCAGGGTTGGGTGGACTGTCGAAGGTTTCGTGTGGTCGGGCCCCTACTGCAGATCCGCCGGCTCTCGAGATCCCCGCTTCCATTCTTCACTTACTCCGCGCCGAGGTTGTCCCGATCCCGGTTCCCTCTTGACGCCTGGGGCTCACGTGCCAGGCCTGCGGCTCCCAAAAGTTCACCAGAGCGAGCGAGCATCCGGTTCTCAGGATCCTTGGGGCCCCTCCCGCCTCCCCGCACGAGCGGCGAGCGTGCCCACGTCCACGCCCCCGCGGTCTGGACTCCGGGGCGCGGTCCCGCGGAGCTGCGGTCGCACGGAGGCGTTCCGCGCGGGGCGGCCGCGGGGAATTCGCGCCCCAGGGGCCCCAGCCCGCGAGGCCGCGGGTGCGGCCGGAAGCGACGCGGAAAAGCGGGCTTGATCGGGCCATCATTCGCGAGCACACTGCCCGCGTAAGGTTGCGCGCAGGCGCCCTCGCACGCAGCGTGGCGTGCCGCGCTGGCGGCCCGCGTCAGGTCTCCCAAAGTGGGGTTCGAGTAGATGGCGTCGGGGGATCACCTCGCATCGTCGATCGATGCATCGGCGGTGCAGCTCGGTGCGGAGCCCCACTTTCTCCACGCCGGCTTCGTTGTCGACGTCTCGTCGTCGTCATCGTCGTCGTGGTGGTCGTCGTCCTCGTCGTGGTCGTCCTCGTCGTGGTCGTGGTCGTCGTCGTGGTCCTCGTCGTGGTCGTCGTGGTCGTCGTCGTCGTCGTCGTCGTCGTCGTCGTCGTCGTCGTCGTCGTCGTCGTCGCCCACGTGGTCTTCGCACAGGTCGTGGGCCACGGCGCGGCCCCGCGGCAGCCGCCGCCCCTGCAGCTCCCCGGGGCCGCGCTCGGGCCCGGGAGCGCGCCCGGCCAGGCCCGGGGGGGGGGAAGACGCCTCCTCCTCCTCTCCTCCTCCTCCTCCTCCTCCTCCTCCTCCTCCTCCTCCCCTCCTCCTCCTCCGCCTCCTTCTCCTCCTCCTCCTCCTCCTCCTCCTCCTCCTCCTCCTCCTCCTCCCCCTCCTCCTCCTCGTCCCCTTCTTGATCCATGTTTGCGATCGCCTGCGACGTGCCCAACCCATCGGCACCAAGGGATGGTATGAGTCGGAGGAGAAAAGTCGTCATAAACATAAACTTTTGGCGCTCCGCGCAGATTGTTTTGGATCCGCGCCCGGCCAGGCCCGGCGGGGCCCCAAACGGTGCGGTCACCACACCGTGCGGTGAGTCGGTGGGGATTCGGAGTCACCGCACGGTTTTGGGGCTCGGGTCGTTCTCCGAGGAGGTCTCGGGCGACAGGGGCCGGAGAAAAGGCGCCATAGCACACAAGCCTTTGGCGCTCCGCGCGGATTTCTTGGATCCGCGCTGGGCCCCCCGGCGGCGCCTCCGGCGCCGCCGCTGGCGCGCTCCGCGCGCCTGGGAGGGGGTCCAGCGCAGATCCAAGAAATCTGCGCGGAGCGCCAAGAGTTTCTGCTCATGGCGTTTTTCTTCTTCTTAGAAGGTGTGCCGGCAATAGTGTGACAGCAACGCTGCAAGAGACTGTGCACAGCGGATACCTACGTCGTGCGGAGGGTCCGTGGCCGGCTCGCAGAGCAGAGGTACAGAAGGCCAGCAGGCACTGTGCTGGGGAGGAGGAGCGAAAGGAATACGTCGGAGGTCGGAGCAGATGGGGTCGGAGGATCGCGCCGCATCGCCGATGCATCGGCGATGCGGCTCGATGTGGATCCCGCTTTTCTCCACGCCGACGGCGCCGTTGTCGCCAGTGCATCGCCAATGCAACTCCGATGCATCGCCGATGCATCGGCGATGCGGCGCGATCCTCCGACCCCATCTACTTCGACCCAATCCAGGAGGCCTCTATGGCCGCGGTCATGGGATCTCCCTAGAGTTCCTGCCCCGCTCTTCCTGAATACGGCATGGGGAAACAACTCGTGGACACTCCCTCGCTCACCCAAACTCAAAGCCGCCACGCGCGGAGAATACTGCGGTCGAAGTGCAACTCAGCAGACCCACCGTCAACTTTGAACATTGAGGGGAGGACGAGGAGGGGGAGGAGCAGGAGCAGGAGCAGGAGCAGGAGGAGGGGGAGGCGGTGATCGATGAATGTGGCATGCGTGTTCGCTATGTTCCCCCTAGGCCTGCACCTCCTCCCCTTCACATCGACCCCCTCCCCCACCCCTGGGTCCCCCCTGGGCCGCGCACGTGCCTCGGGCGATGACTCCTCCTCTTCCTCCCCCTCCTCCTCTTCCGCCCTCCTCCTCCTCCTCCTCCTCCTCTTCCTCCCCTCCTCCTCCTCCTTCTCCTCCTCGTCCTCCTCCTCGTCCTCCTCGTCCTCCTCCTCGTCCTCCTCCTCCTCCTCGTCCTCCTCCTCCTTCTCCCCCATGGGCCGCTCACGTGCCTCGGGCGATGACCTGCGCAACCCCCACCTGGGGAGCCCCCCTTCCCCCAGACGCCTCCGAGTCGAGGGGGCAGGTCGGCTCGCCGTCGCGCCCGAGGGCGAAGGTTCAGTCGAGCATTTCCCTCGACAGGAGGGATAGTCAAAAGCAGTCAGAGAATAGTCTGGTTGCCAAGGTACCATTTTTTGCATATGTTTTGGCATGTATTCTTTTTCCTCGCAAATTCGCCTGCAGGAGCGCATCGCCGACCTAGGGCCAGGGCGCGAGGGCCAGCCCTTCCTGAGATCTCTGGGCCTCACGCGTGGGGCCCGTTCCGGTGGGAGCGGAGGACCGTGCCGCGTCGCTGGTGAAGCGCCGAAGGCGGCTGGATGTCGGTCGAAGAAGAGCAAACGCCATCGACAAATGTTGGGCCCTTTGCGCTGGGCCCCCTGGCGGCGCCTCCGGCGCCGCCCCGGGCGCGCTCCGCGAGCCAGGGAGGGGGGGAGTCCAGCGCAGCTCCAGGAAATCAGCGCGGAGTGCCGAGAGTGTGATGTGCTCGTTTTTTCTGCAAGTGGAGCCCGAGTGGCTCCATGCCGACGGCGCCGCTGCGTCGCTGACCTCCGCGATGCGGTCCGACCCTCTGACCCCGTCTGCATGGACCCCATCTTGGGGGCCTCCTATGAGAGCTGAGCTGAACCGAGCTGGCACGCCGTGTCTCCGCTGGCGCGACGGCCACGGAGGCGTCCGTCCCGGCCCAGCAGCCGAGGAAACGAATCGAGGCTGCAGTCGCAGCGTTCACGTGGCGAATATCTGTCACTTCGCCATCGGAGGAGATCAAATCGCGCCGCCCTGGTCGCCGTCGCCGACGCCGTCGGGGCTCGGCCTCGCAATCTGCGCCGGCGTGGTCTCTTCGCTCTCGGCCTCCACGGTGGTCCGCTGCGGACCCCACGGGGGCCGTCGGAGGTGAGCCCAGGGTGAGAAGCTGGCCAGGATGGGCCTTGCCAGGGGGTGGTGCGGGGACCGACCTTGAGCACATGCTGGTCCGTCGTCGTCGCCATCGAGTCTCCTCCTCGGTCTCGTTGGGGATGATTGTCGCCATCGGCAGCGACTGCCGGTGTCGTCGGACTCGCCGTCGCCGTCGTCGCCGGCGGAGAGAGTGGCGGTGGTGGTGGCGGCGGGGAAAAAGTCTCGAGCAGAGCAGCACGCCACCGACGACCACGACGACGCCACCGGCGACGAGGCGCGCTCAAGATCCGCACCCGGGCGCGGCCCCACCCGTGCCCAGCGCATCGTTGAGTGGTGCTGCGGCTTAGGCTTAAGTCGGGCCTGTCCCTCTACAGGGGGAATATTCAAAAATAGTCAAGAAATAGTCTGGAGATTTGTTTTGGGTACCTTTGGGCATCTTTGTTACTATTTGTTGCACTTTTAGAAATTTGTCGCCCAAAATCCCCCTGTAGGGGGACAGGCCCGACCCAAGCTTAGGCCGCCCTTGAGGGGGCGTGGGGGGAGGAGCCCCGAGCACGGGGCAGCAGGAGCACGTCGCCGCCCGCCCCCTCCGCACCGGCCCGCCCGCTCCGCCCTCGCACGGCTCCCCGGGCTGGCCTGCGGCAGCCGGGGGTGAGAAGCGGCTGCGGCGACGGTGGCGGGCGAGCACGGGTGAGTCGGGGGGGGGGCCGGCCGTCCTTCCCTTGCAGTTGGGACCCGTGCCAAGAAACTCGACTAGACGTAAGAGTGACCTTTCGCCGGAGTGACCTTTGGTGCGGGCCAAATGGGGTCCCCGATCGCCGAACGCGATGCGGTGGTAGCGTCTTGGGCGCTTGTGTTTGGACCCCCCGCGGCCCCCAAAAAGCCGCGCACCAAAGGTCACTCTTACCCAGGGTCACTCCTGCGTGCAGCCGAGAAAAACCCTGCTTGCCTCCAGGGTGCCCCGGGTTTCTTGGGTTTCGATGGTCTTGAGGTCTTGACGTGGGAAGCGTGACGTTCCCACGCCAAGAATCATTGACGGAGGTCGTGGGGTCTCAGGGCTGGCTTGCTCGTGGGCGGTCTCCTGTGGACTGGCCTCCACTGTACAGTCGGCCTGGATCAGTAGGTCGACCCTGCCAGTTCAAGGGTACCCTTGTGTCCTGTGCCTCGCGACACGTGCCTTCCTACACTCCTATGGCGACGTGGCCCTCGGAAGGGTCTCGTGTCCTCTCGCGTGGCAATCAAGGCCGACTGTACAGTGCCGTTTTTTAATGCATGCTCCGCGTGCGGATCATGTATTAAACATGCAGGGATGTAGTATCAAAAACAACGATGAGCTCATGCATAAATTTATTCATAATTTAATCATGTATTAAAAACCTTCTATTTTCAAACATCCAATGTATTCAAACAACTGCCCTGTAAGCTCGTCCGGTGTCACAGGGAGGCGGCAGACGGCCACGAAAGACTTCCACTTAAGGGGGGGGGCGGGGAGCTCCCGGCCGCCCGCCCAGTGCGGCAGCCGGTGCCGCAGTGCTGCGCGCAGGAGACGCCCTCGCCATGTGCACACGCTTCACTTTTCTAACTCTTCGAGAGTTCTCTGACTTTTTCCGGGGGCCAAGAGCCTCTCATTTCTGATTCTTCTATCCTGGGCCTCCTCCTGGCCCCCAGGGGCTCGCCACGTGCACACTGTTCACTTCTAACGCTTCGAGAGTTCTCTGATTTTCTGGGGGCCTAGATGCTCTCATTTCTAATTCTTCTACCCTGGGGCCTCTTCCTGGCCAGGGGCCAGGAACAAGTAGAAACGAGCACCATTGGAAATGAGCACGATTAGAAATTCACGGCGTGCAATTATCCAGGAATGGCGCTCTCCCCTGGATGTTGGGTGCATGTTTGGTCTGGACGGCCATGGTCCCGGGTGAGAAAAGTGAGTAGGTGAGCAGGGCCTCACAACTGAACCAGGAAGCGTGCTCTCGCCTCCATGCCAGCCGCGCATGCTTGGCTTGGACGGCCACGATCCATCTGGGAAAACATACGCTGAGGTAACATGGCCGTGCCCTCGCCCACAGCCCGGCTGCATTTGTCCTTAACAGCGTCTTGCCAGAAGGTCCCCATGGTGGGCAACGAGAAGGGATCACGGGAGAGTCCCACAGCGGGGACGGGGACGGGGATGGGGAGCCCCAGGCCGCCAGGCTTGGCATTACCAGTTTGAAACATATCCCTATCCCTATGTTTGACATCACCTCACCTCGATGCTGATATTCAGGATTCCCTCAGTGTCTGAGGGCCTATCCCTAAGATTGTCCTCGCTTTTTGCTCGCCCATCTCAGGGATAGGGATACGTTCGAGGCTGGTTATGGCAGCCGTTTCGCTGGAGACTTCTGCACAGTCTTCTCGCCTCGTGCCGGCTACCACACGGAAGGACGGGGAGCCGGAGGCCACTCGGTGCGGCAGCCGTCTCGCCTGCGGCTCCCCTCCAACTGGATTCAGGAAGAGTGCTCTCGCCTCGATGCTGGCTGCGTTTGGGGTTTATAGACGGCCACGGGTACAGGCCACACAGGCTCCACAAGTCTCACTTACGGGTCTCACAGGCCCCACAGTTTCCACACGTTCCCCACAGCTCCCAGAGGTCTCGCAGGCCTGACGGGTCCCACGGGTTCCAGAGGTCCCACGGGTCCCACCGTCCCACAGGTCCCATGGGTTCCGCGTGTCCTACAAGTCCCACAGGTCTTACAGGTGCCACAGGTCCCACAGTTCCCACATATCCCGCAGGTCCCACACGTCCCACAGGTCCCACAGGTCCCTCAGGTCCCACAGGTTCTACATGGGTCGCGCAAGTCCTACAGGTTCCTCAGGTCCCACTTGCACCACAGGTCCGACAGATCCCACAGGTCCCACAGGACGCTCACAAGTTCCACAGGTTCCACAGGTCCCACAGGTCCCACATGCTGCAGGGGCTTCACATGTCCCACAGGTCTTGCAGGTCATGCAGGTCCCACAGGTTCCACAGGTCCCATACGTCCCACAGGTGCCGCAGGTCTCACAGGTCCCGCAGGCCATAGAGGTCCCTCAGGTCCCACAAGTCTCACAGGTCGCGCAAGCCAGCAGTTCCCATGTGTTTCACAGGTCCCAGAGGTTTCGCAGGTCTCACAGATCCCACAGGCCACAGAGTCCCATATTTCCCACAGGCCCCATCACAGGTCGCACGGTCCCACCGTCGCCGCCTGCCACCATGGGTCCCACAGGCCACAGGTCCCACAGGTCCCACAGGTCCCACAGGTTCCACCGGTCCCACCGCCCTTCAGGTCCCATAGGTCCCACAAGTCCCATAGGTCCCTCAGGTCCCACAGGTTCCACAGGTCCCACATGTCCCACAGGTCCCACATGTCCCGCAGTTTCCACAGGTTGCACAATCCCACCGTTCCCACCTGCCCCGAAGGCCGCACAGGTGCTCACAGGTCCCACAGCCCGCCAGGTCCCACAGGCCCACAGGTCACACAAGTCCCGCAGGTCCCTCAGGTCCCACAGGTTCCACGGGTCCCACAGGTCTGACAGGTTCCACATGTCCCACAGGTCCCTCAGGTCTGGCAGGCTCACAGGTCCCACAGACCACCAGGTCTCACAGGTACCAGAGGTCCCACCTGTTGCACACGTCCCGCAGGTCCCACAGGTTCCACAGATCAAGGGTGTCTCGCAAGTCCCACATGTCCCACAGGTCCCACAGGTCCCACAGGTGTCGTAGGTCTGTCTCACAGGTCACACATGCCACAGGGGTCCCTCACGTCTCACAGGCCAACGGGTCGCACAAGCTAGCAGTTGCCACTTGTCCACAGGTCTCGCAGGTCGCACAAGTCCCACATGGCACAGAGGTCCCGCAGGTCCCACCACAGGTCGCACAAGCCCCACCATTTCCACCTCCCACCACAATTCCCACTTGCCCCACGGGGTCCGCAGGTCCCACATGTTCCACAGGTCCCACAGGCTGTTCAAGTCCCACAATTCACAATTGACCCACAGGTCCTACAGGTCCCACGTGTCTCACAGGTCGCTTAAGTTCCAAGGTTCACAATTTCCCGACTTCCACAAACCCCTTTGGTCCCAAAGGTCCGACAGGCCCCACATGTCCCACAGGTCCCACATGTCCCGCAGTTTCCACAGGTTGCACAGTCCCACCGTTCCCACCTGCCCCCAAGGTCGCACAGGTGACAGGTCCCACAGGCCGCCAGGTCCCACAGGCCCACAGGTCGCACAAGTCCCACAGGTCCCTCAGGTCCCACAGGTTCCACGGGTCCCACAGGTCTGACAGGTTCCACATGTCCCACAGGTCCCTCAGGTCTGGCAGGCTCACAGGTCCCACAGACCACCAGGTCTCACAGGTACCAGAGGTCCCACCTGTTGCACACGTCCCGCAAGTCCCACAGGTTCCACAGATCAAGGGTGTCTCGCAAGTCCCACATGTCCCACAGGTCCCACAGGTCCCTCAGGTGTCGTAGGTCTGTCTCGCAGGTCCCACATGCCACAGGGGCCCCTCACGTCTCACAGGTCCAACAGGTCCAACGGGTCGCACGAGCTAGCAGTTGCCACTTGTCCCACAGGTTTCGCAGGTCGCACAAGTCCCACATGGCAGAGAGGTCCCGCAGGTCCCACCACAGGTCGCACAGGTCCCACCATTTCCACCTCCCACCACTTGCCCCACGGGGTCCGCAGGTCCCACATGTTCCACAGGTCCCACAGGCTGTTCAAGTCCCACAATTCACAATTGCCCCACGAGTCCTACAGGCCCCACACTTCTCACAGGTCGCTCAAGTTCCAAGGTTCACACTTGCCCCACTCCCACAGGCCCAATGGGTCCCAAAGGTCCGACAGGCCCCAGATGCCCCACGTGTCCCGCAGGTCGCACAGGTCCCAGAGGTCCCACAGGTCCTACAGGTCCCGCATGTCTCACAGGTCGCTTAAGTTCCAAGGTTCGCACTTTCCCGACTCCCACAAACCCCTTTGGTCCCAAAGGTCCGACAGGCCCCACATGTCCCACAGGTCCCACATGTCCCGCAGTTTCCACAGGTTGCACAATCCCACCGTTCCCACCTGCCCCCAAGGTCGCACAGGTGACAGGTCCCACAGGCCGCCAGGTCCCACAGGCCCACAGGTCGCACAAGTCCCGCAGGTCCCTCAGGTCCCACAGGTTCCACGGGTCCCACAGGTCTGACAGGTTCCACATGTCCCACAGGTCCCTCAGGTCTGGCAGGCTCACAGGTCCCACAGACCACCAGGTCTCACAGGTACCAGAGGTCCCACCTGTTGCACACGTCCCGCAAGTCCCACAGGTTCCACAGATCAAGGGTGTCTCGCACGTCCCACATGTCCCACAGGTCCCACAGGTCCCTCAGGTGTCGTAGGTCTGTCTCGCAGGTCCCACATGCCACAGGGGCCCCTCACGTCTCACAGGTCCAACAGGTCCCACGGGTCGCACGAGCTAGCAGTTGCCACTTGTCCCACAGGTTTCGCAGGTCGCACAAGTCCCACATGGCACAGAGGTCCCGCAGGTCCCACCACAGGTCGCACAAGTCCCACCATTTCCACCTCCCACCACAATTCCCACTTGCCCCACGGGGTCCGCAGGTCCCACATGTTCCACAGGTCCCACAGGCTGTTCAAGTCCCACAATTCACAATTGCCCCACGAGTCCTACAGGCCCCACATTTCTCACAGGGCGCTCAAGTTCCAAGGTTCACACTTGCCCCACTCCCACAGGCCCAATGGGTCCCAAAGGTCCGACAGGCCCCAGATGCCCCACGTGTCCCGCAGGTCGCACAGGTCCCAGAGGTCCCACATGTCTCACATGTCTCGCAGGCCACATGAGTCCCACAGGCTCTTTGCGGTATTGTTCCCAACCGTCCTGCAGTTGCGGGTCCTTGCTTTGAAGAGACGGCGCCCCGTGTCTCCTCTCCTCTCCTCTCCTCTCCTCTCCTCTCCTCTCCTCTCCTCTCCTCTCCTCTCCTCTCCTCTCCTCTCCTCTCCTCTCCTCCTCTCCCTCCTCCTTCCTCACATCCGTGCCGCTGCCCTTTGTTCATGTCGGCACACCCCTCACACGCTTCGTGGCCCCACTGGGAGCTGAACCGAATGCCCCAGTGACAGCGTTCGCATGGCGGCTCCGTACACATTGAGGCACACCCCTCATATATTCCGTGTCCCCACAAGAAGCTCTACGGAAGGCCCCAGAGGCAGCGTTCGCAGGGCGGCTCCGCGCCCAGTTCGGCACATCCCTCAGAGACTTCGTGGCCCCATGGGGAGCTACCCTCCCGTCATCCCACCTGCCCTGCGAAACCCACGCCTGCATTTGGCTGGGCCTTCCGCCCGGAAAATTTGCACCGTGGCTCCCTGGAGGTCCAGACACCTTCCCGAATACCAGCCTCATCCAGAGTCGTCCTGTTGACGAGCCTGGGACCTGGCGAGAAAATCTCCAATAACCTCCTTCGTGATGCACTTCGGCGGCGAGCCCAGGGGGGAAGTGAGAAGGAGAAGGCCGTCTCAGAAGGCTCGGAAGTCCCCCAGCCTGAGAAGTTCTCGAGGCCTGGCCCGAAGACGCCAACAACTTCCTTCAGCAGGCGCGAGGTCTTCTGAGCAGTCCCGCCGCCTCCTGAGAAGGCCTCCTTCTCACTCCCCCCGTCGTGGTCGTGGTCGTCGTCGTCGTCGTCGTCGTCGTCGTCGTGGTCGTTGCCGTCGTCGTCGTCGTCGTCGTCGTCGTCGTCGTCGTCGTCGTCGTCGTCGTCGTGGTCGTCGTCGTCGTCGTAATCGTCGTCGTCGTCGTCCCTTCGTTCGCCGCCGAGCACGTTCGGGGTTCCCATTTCCCCAGGGGATCGACCCGGCGATGCTCACGGCCATGTGCGCGGGCTGGCAGCAACCGGCGCTGCCTCCGCTGGCGGGGCTCGTGCCTCCGTGCGCCTACGGGTTCCCGAGGCCGGGCGGCGAGATCTATACTTCACTCGGGCATGCCCCTCTGCAGGGGGACTCTTCAAGAATAGTACAGGCGGCCCGGATTAGTAGGTCGACCCTGCCAGATCAAGGGTACCCTCGTGTCCTGTGTCTTGCGACGCATGCCTCCAGCATTTCTGTGGCAACGTGGCCCTCGGAAGGGTCCTGTGTCCTCTCGCGTGTCCTCTCCAATCAAGTCCGACTGTAAGACATAGTCTGGGGACGAGATTTCGATTCTTCTGCTTTGATTGGAGAGGCCTGACGGCCGGTGCCGCCGACCCTGATCGAAAGGGTTAGGAGTGGGGGGAGGAAGCGGAGGATGAGGAGGAGGAGGAGGAGGAGGAGGAGGACGAGGAGGAGGAGGAGGAGGAGGAGGAGGAGGAGGAGGAGGAGGAGGAGGAAAAGAGGAGGAGCAGGAGGAGGAGGAGGAGGAGGAGGAGGAGGAGGAGGAGGAGGAAGTGCATCCTTTGTGTGCCCGCTCGAAGAAAGTGCGCCCCGGGAGTGTGAGATTCTGACTTGGGACGTGCTCCTGGAAGAGGAAGAAGTGCATCTCGGGCGTGCCCGCTCGAGGAAAATGCTCCCTAGGGGAGTGGTATTTTGACTCGAGGCCCGCTCCTGGGACGCCTCTGCGGGAGGCTCGCGCGTCCTCTCCAATCAAGTCCGACTGTAAGACATAGTCTGGGGACGAGATTTCGATTCTTCTGCTTTGATTGGAGAGGCCTGACGGCCCGTGCCGCCGACCCTGATCGAAAGGGTTAGGAGTGGGGGGAGGAAGCGGATGATGATGATGATGATGATGATGATGAGGAGGAGGAGGAGGAGGAGGAGGAGAAGGGTGACGAGGAGGAGGAGGAGGAGGAGGAGGAGGAGGAGGAGGAGGAGGAGGAGGAGGAAAAGAGGAGGAGCAGGAGGAGGAGGAGGAGGAGGAGGAGGAGGAGGAGGAGGAGGAGGAAGAGGAGGAGCAGGAGGAGGAGGAGGAGGAGGAGGAGGAGGAGGAGGAGGAGGAAGTGCATCCTTTGTGTGCCCGCTCGAAGAAAGTGCGCCCCGGGAGTGTGAGATTCTGACTTGGGACGTGCTCCTGGAAGAGGAAGAAGTGCATCTCGGGCGTGCCCGCTCGAGGAAAATGCTCCCTAGGGGAGTGGTATTTTGACTCGAGGCCCGCTCCCGGGACGCCTCTGCGGGAGGAGGAGGAGGAAGAGGTGGATGAGGAGGAGGAGGAGGAGGAGAAGGAGGAGAGGAGCAGGAGGAGGAGGAGGAGGAGGAGGAGGAGGAAAAGGAGGAGCAGGAGGACCAGGAGGAGGAGGAAGCGCATCCCGTGCGTGCCCGCTCGAGGAAAGTGCGCCCGAACGGGCGTCGTATCTGCCCCGGGCCCCCCCCCCCCTCCCCCCCCCCTGCGGGGAAGGGATCAAAGGGAAGGGGCTTCCCTTCGATGCCACTGCGACGTCGTTTAATTTCGCTTTGGATAGCGCGCTTGAGGAGGAGAGCCCTGGGAGGGAGAGAACAGAGACGACGGAGACGACGAGTCGAACGGAGAAGCCCGTCACACACGCCGACAGGGTCGGCGGATTTTGGTATTTTCATGACTATGTTTGACATTTCTTCAAAAATCCGCCTTTATCGGGGACATCCGCCGCCCCTGGCAGTGCCCGGCCTGGGCCAGGGAGAGCAGTGCACGTGCCCTCCACGGCCAAGCCAGGGCGGTTCGGCCCCCCTGGGGCGCCCAGGACGGGCGTGGCCGGCGGCAGTGCAGCATCAGGAGGCCTGTAGGTTTGAGGTTTGCACCCCCCCCCCTCTCCTTCCTTGGTGTCTCTCGTCGTTGTCGTCGTCGTCGTCGTCGCCGTCGTCGTCGTCGTCGTCGTCGTCGTCGTCGTCGTCGTCGTCGTCGTCGTCGCCGCCGTCGTCGTCGTCGCCGTCGTCGTCGTCGTCGTCGTCGTCGTCGTCGTGCGACGGGTGCCGCGGAGGAACAGGCACTTCCCACGATTGGTGCGGCCATGGTCTGTCAATAACCTCGAGGAGATCATGTAGTTCCACTATTGGGAGGGTGGGTTCTAAAGAGCTGTAGAGGCTCCCTCCTTCTCCTCCCTCCTCCTCCTCCTCCCTTCTCCTCCTCTTCCTCCCTCCTCCTCCTCCCCCCCCCCCCTTCCTCCTCCTCCTCCCTCCTCCTCCTCCTCCTCCTCCTCCTCCTCCTCCTCCTCCTCCTCCTCCTCCTCTCCTCCCTTCTCCTCGTCCTCCTCCTCGCGCGCGCCGGGGCCCCCCCGCCCCGGGCGGAGGAGGTGGGGAGGGACCCAGGAGGAGAGGGAGGGAGGAGGGGAGGAGGGAGGAGGCAGAGGGGAGGGAGGGAGGAGGGAGGAGGGAGGAGGGAGGAGAGGAGGGAGGAGGGAGGAGAGGAGGAGGAGGAGGAGGAGGAGGAGGAGGAGGAGGAGGAAGGAGGAGGAGAGAGGCGGAGGAGGAGGAGGAGGAGGAGGAGGAGGAGGGAGGAGGAGGAGGAGGAGGAGGAGGAGGGATCCAGGCGCCCCGGGCGGAGGAGGAGGGAGGGATCCAAGAGCAGCGACGAGGGGAGATGTCGAGAGTCTCCCAGAAGCCCTCCAGAGCGCCACCTCCTAGAGGCCGCATCCAAAGTCCCCGTGGAGACCTCTGTAGACGGAATTGTCTATAGCGAGCGCTTTCTTGGTTTCGGCCCCCGGCGTCGTGGTTTCTTCAGGGCGCGACCCCCTGAGGGCGGACCCAGTCCCCCAGGGCCGGTGTCTCGTCCTGCGTCGTCCTCGGACGGCCCCCGAGGCCCGGTCAGGGCCCCGTCGAGGTCGAACGCGGCGAAGCACCTGCCGTCGTGGTGTGCTCACGGCTCGAGGGGCGGTCCGGGGAGGGGGGGGGTCCCCAGAGCGGGGGGTGTGGCGCGGCGCAGCGGAGCGACACGTCGAGCAAACGCTGCCCACCGTAGAGCTCGCCGCTCGGCGAGGGCCCCCCCGGCGCCGCCGTGGAGCGCGGCGGCCGCGGACGGCGCCCCGCAGGGGCTGCCGCAGCCGCTGGAGGCCGCGGCGCCGCAGCAGGCCCGCGGCGCGGCGAAGCGGCGCGCGAGCGCGCGCACGCGAGCGCGCGCACGGGTCGTGCGCCGTGGCAGCGGCCTCGGCATCGCTCGGACGTGTGCATGTCTTCTCGGCGAGAACCCTCGAGGACCATCCTGGACCATCGAGCACAAAGAACACGCGCGACACCGAACAATGCACGCGCAATGGACGTCCGAGCGACGGCAAGGCGGGGCCCCGGCCGCCCCGTGACGGGAGGAGGTAGTTAGTCGACTGCACGTAAGAGTGACCCTTCGCCGGAGTGACGTGTGGTGCGGGCTCGGCGCTGGCCTGCGCGCTTGGGTTTGGCCTACCCGCGGCCCCCTGACTCCGCGCACCAAAGGTCACTCTTTCCTAAGGTCACCCTTGCGTGTGGTCGAGGTGTGGATGCGACGCGCGGCTTCGCTGTGTGCGTGCTCGAGCGGGGCTTGCTCCGAGTGGCTCGCGGGCCCCGCCTTGAGACGTGCGCGCGCGCTCCTCCCTGACCTTGCTACGCCCCGTCGCTGCGCGCGGGGCCGCGACGCCAAGAGCGTGCTCGACCGGGGCGCCGGGCCGGGTGGGCGGCGCCTGGGACGTCACGAGGAGCCGCCGCTTACGCCACCACCCGGCCCAGCTCCCCGCGGCGACGGCTCTCGGGCGGCGCGCGTCGTCGTCGTCGTCGTCGTCGTCGTCGTCGTCGTCGTCGTCGTCGTCGTCGTCGTCGCCGTCGTCGAGCCGCGCCTCTCCGAGGCGGCGGCTGGGAAGAGGCAGCCCACGAGAGTGCCACCTGCCGACCAGGGCGCAACCCTGGCGTGCTCCTCCCGCTCGCGCGCGCCTCCGCGGGCGCGCGCGGCAGCACGGTTAGCCTCGATGCTCGGGAGGAGGACGGAGGAGGAGGAGTCCCCAGCACGAGAGTCTCGACCGTCATCTGTTCGGGAATTGTAAAGTGGGGGGGCCCAAGAACGAGAGCCCCAGGGAACCAGGATGTCGGCGGGGGAGTCAAGATCGAGGTCGGACCCAGGCGAGATCTTGTAGGGTGGGCAGTCCCAAGAATCGGCGGCGGGGCGGTTTAGGGTCGGATCCGGGCGCGAGAAGTGGTAGGCCGGGAGGTCCCGAGAGCGAGGGCCTCGGGGAGCCAGGGCGTCGACGTCCGGAGCGGGGCCGGATCCAGGCGAGAAGCGGCAGGGCGGGGGGTCCCAGGAGAAAGAGAGCATCACGGAGCCCGGAGGTCGGCGGCGGGAGGGTCTCCAGGATCGGGGTCGGCGGGGCGAGGTCGGACGGGGTCGGAGCCGGGCGAGACATTTTTGGGGGGGTCTCGGGAACGACAGTTTCGGTGAGCCAGGAGGTCGGCGGGAGGGTTTTTAGAACGGGGTCGGACCCCAGCGAGAGATGGCAGTGCGGATGTGTCTCCAGAGCGAGGGTCTCAGGGAGGCAGGGCGTCGGCGGCGGGGCCGTGGACGGGGTCGGGTCCGGGCGAGGAGTTGTGGGGTGGGGGGGGCCCAAGAACGAAAGCTTCGGTGAGCCAGGATGTCGGCGAGGTGGTTTAGAACGTGGTGGGATCTAGGCGAGAAGTTGTCGGGTGGGGTGGGGCCCAAGACTGTAGGTCTCAAGGACCTATAGGCTGTCGGCGAGAGGGCCCAGAACGGGGTCAGATCCCAGCGAGAAATGACTAGGGCGGGTCGTCCCCAGGGCGAGAATCTCAGGGAGGCAGGGTGTCGGCGGGGCCGGTCTAGCACGGGGTCGGATCCGGGCGAGAATTCGTAGGGCGGGAGGTCCCGAGAACGAACGCCGCATGGAGCTAGGTTGTCGGCGGGGGGGGGGGGAAGGGCTCGGATCTGGGCGAGATGTTGCGTGGCAGTGGGACCCAGCAACGAAAGTCTCGGGGAACCTAGGGTGCAAGCGGGGACAAGAACGGGGCCGGATTCGTCAGGGGAGTTGTAGGGTGGGGGTCCCAAGGACGAGAGCCTGACAAAACCAGGACGTCTGCGGGGAGGTCTAGAACGGGGTCGGATCCAGGCGAGAAAGTGGGAAGCACCATATGCGAGAGCCCCAGGGAGCTAGGATGTGGGGGGGGCCCAAGTTCGAACGGGACGGATCCGGGGGAGAGTAGGATGGGGGGTCCCAGAGAACTATCATGTCGTTGGGGTCTGGAGCGGGGTCGGATCCGGGTGAGGTCCCAAGAGCGAGAGTCTCAGGGGGCTAGGATTCGGCGGGGTGTTTAGAAAAGGGTCGGATCCAGGCGATAAATTTCAGGCTGGGGCGTCCCCAGAACGAGAGTCTCAGGCAGGTCGGAGGTCGCGGTGTTGTTCTGGAGCGGATCTGAGCGAGATGTTGCAAGGTGCGTCCCAAGAACAAGAGTCTCAGTGAGCTTGGATGTCGGCGGGGTGGTTGAGAACGGCGGTGTATGGGTGTGTGCGTGTGTAAGGGATTAAGAGGAAGTGTCAGAGTGTGAGTGTGTCTGTGTGTTTCTGTGTGTATATATATATGCGTGTGTATGTATGAATGTGTATGTGTGCGTGTGTGCGTGTGTGTCCATGTGTGCGGGTGTGGGGTCCCTAGAACGAGAGTCTCACGGGACTGGGATGTCGGCCGGGGGGGGTAGCACGTCTAGAAACGGGATCGGACTTGGGCAAGAAGTTGTAGGGCGGGGGCTCCACATGCGAGAGCTTCCAGGAGCTGTGACGTCGGCAGGGGGGTCCAGAAAGGGGCCGTACCTTGGCGCGGAGGTGTGGGGTGTGAGAGCCCAACGATGAGCGTCTAAGGGGGCTCGCCGGCGCAGGGGGCCAGAACAGGGTCTGCTAGGGGCGAGGGGCCCAAGGGGGCCAGGGTTCAGGAGGGGAAAACACACACACACACCAACACACAACACACAACACACACACACACACAACACACACACACACAACACACACACAACACACACACAACACACACACACACACAACACACAACACACAACACACAACACACAACACACAACACACAACACACAACACACAACACACAACACACAACACACAACACACAACACACAACACACAACACACACAACACACAACACACAACACACAACACACACACAAACACACACACACATACACACATACACACATACACACAATATTATTCGGCGATTCCCCAGAAAAATGTGAAAGGATGATAAGTGGGGGGAAGACAGAAACCCCAAAAATATGTGAAAATATGGGGAAAATTTTTATTTGTGTGTATTTCTTTGTGTGTCATGGGGCCACTTCACAAGCAGCCTGTCGGGGGAGGGGGCATGTGGAAGTCTGCCCTGAGCGAGACTCGGAAAAGGTCGGGAGGTCCCAGGGGGCCAGGGTCTTGGCATCTCTCGGACGTGTGCATTTTTCCTTCGGCGAGGACCCTCGAGGAGCACCCTTGATCATTTGGCGAAACAACCACCCACGAAACCGATACAAAAACACACACAGGGAATGGACGTCCGAGCGATGGCGAGGGGTGTCGGCAGGGCACCTGAGAGATTTCAGGGCAGGGGAGGTTAAGAGAGCAGGTTCCAGAGCTGCATCGCACATGCCTCTTGGGTCGACAGAATTTTAGTTTGGATTTTAGACGAGGGCTGAAGGCCAACTCTACCGAATTAATTCATGTTGCCCCTCCGTGCTAAACAGTTGGTGAAGAATTCGACGCTTGGTAGGTGCTTACGAAACGTGTGATCAGAGTGCCGATTGGGCGAGGCTGCCATGCTAACGCAGCCACTGGGGCCTTCGGTGGAGAGCTCTATATGGTGCAACGAAGCGTGTAAAGGGTGTGCTGACGTGGGGGGCGGGGGGGCTTCATTCGAACGCAGCCGCTGGGGCCTTCGGTAGATCTCCCTGAGGGGCCACGGAAGGTGTGAAGGGTGTGCCAAAATGGGTGCGGCGACACCATGCGAACGCAACCACTGGGGACTTCGGTGGAGCTCCCTATGGGGCGACGAAGCGTGTGAGGGGTGTGCCGAAATGGGCCGTGGCCGCCATATGAACGCAGCCATCGGGGCTTTCGGTGGAGCTCCTGATGGGGTCGTGAATTGTGGTGGGTGTGCCGAACTGAGGCGAGGCCGTCATATGAACGCACCCAGTGGGACTTTCGGTGCAGCTCCCTGGTGTCACGCATCGTGGGAGCGGTGTGCCGAAATGAGGCGGGGCACCATGCGACTGCAGCAGGCTGCTGGTGCCTTAGTTGGCCCCCCCCGTAGGGCCACGAAACATGTGAGGGGCCAGATTAGCCGGCTTCCTGTCACGGATCTGCCAGCGTCGATGCTGACTTAAACCTCCTGTGAGTTGCAACCATGGTCCTCTGCAAGGCTCGAATGCCGAACCAGAAAGCTATAACCAGGATGCTATAGAACTAGATCAAACGGACAGGTGTTGACAAAACAACAGATATGTCACAGCGTGGACCAGACTAACACATGCAAGATATCAAAGCTCCAGATACCAGGGCCCGACGAAGCACAATCAAACAGCCGTGGTCATTCTGAGAAGGGACCATCGTGGGTGAAGCTTCGAGGGGGGCCTTTCCCGAAAGACTGCAGCGGGTTAAACAGAACCGATCGGCAAACAAAACATAGTTGGGTCCCAACCCTCCTGCGAGTTGGGCCCTAGCCTTGAATCCGCAGCGCCGCACGTCTCGCTCCCCATGTTCCCTCCCCATGTTCCCTCCTCCTCCTCCTCCCCCCCTCCTCCTGCCTCCTCCTCCTCCGCCTCCTCCTCCTCCCCCTCCTCCTCCCTCCTCCTCCCTCCCCCTCCTCCTCCTCCTCCTCCTCCCCTCTCTCCTCCTCCTCCTCACTCCTCCTCCTCTCTCCTCCTCCTCCTCCCCCTCCTCTTCCTCCTCCTCCTCGTCCTCCTCCTCCTCCTCCTCCTCCCCTCCATCACCCCTCCTCCCCTCCCTCCTCCTCCTCCTCCTCCCCCTCCTCCTCCTCTCCTCCTCCTCCCCCTCCTCCTCCTCCTACTCCTCCTCCTCCCTCTCCTCCCTCCTCCTCCCCCTCCTCCTCCTCCTCCTCCTCCTCCTCTCCTCCTTCCTCTCCTCCTCCTTCCCCCCCCCTCCTCCTCCTCCCCCTCCTCCTCCTCCTCCTTACCTTGGCCGCTCCCACGCCGACCCCCCCGCGGGGCCCCAGCGCGTGCGCCCATGCGCTCCGCCCCGCAGGGGCCGGCGGCGCCCGCCGAGGGGCGGCCCGCGCCGGGCCCCGAGGCGGACGGCCCCGCGGGCTACGTGAGGCTGTCGGCGGCGGGCACGAGGCTTCAAAGTCGCTTGGCATCGCTCGGACGTGTGCATGTTTCCTTCGGCGAGGACCCTCGAGGAGCACCCTTGATGATCTGGCGAAAAAACACCACGCAGGAATCCGAAAAAAGCACAGGGAATGGACGTCCGAGCGATGCCCAGGTCGGGCGTGTCCCTTCGCAGGTGATTTTTCTCCCCCAGTCCTCATGATGTTCCAACCTACTTTGGCCTTGATCACGAGACAGAATTTCGAGCGCCAGACAAATACCCCAAAAGCTCGAGGGTTTTCACGTGTCGGGCCCTGGGAGACACTGTTCCCTACCTAGGCTCTGCCTAGAAGGGTTCTTACTCTCTGGCCTTAAAGGGGCCGGGCAGTGGAAAGCGCCCCGGGCGGTTCCCCCAGTATCCGCCCCGCGGTTCCCCCAGCTACGTCCCCTTAGCTTAGCGTCGCTGATCTCATCATAGCTAAGCCTAGCTTAACTTAGCTTAGCTTAGCTTAGTTTAGCCTAGCCCAGCTTAGCTTAGCTTAGCTTAGCTTAGCCTAGCCTAGCTTAGCTTAGCTTAGCTTCGCTCAGCTTAGCTTAGCTTAGCATAGCGCAGCGCATCATTGGCATAACATAGCATAGCGTGGCATAGCATAGCATAGCACATAATAGCATATCGCACCATATCATAGCATAGCATATCATAGCATAGCGCATCATAGCATAGTCTAGCATAGCATAGCGCAGCCTAGCATAACACAGCATAGCATAGCCTAGCGCAGCATAGCATAGCATAGCATAGCGCAGCATATCATAGCATATCATAGCATAGCATCGAGCAGCATAACGTAGCATAGCACATCATAGCGCAACATAACATAGCATCGCCTTGCATAGCATAGCGCAGCATACCATAGCATAACATTGCATATCATAACATAGCGCGGCATGGCATATCATAGCATAGCCTAGCATAGCATAGCATAGCGCAGCATAGCATAGCATAGCATTGCATATCGCAGCATATCATAGCATATCATATCATAGCACAGCGCAGCATAGCATAGCATAGCATAGCATAGCCTAGCATAACATGGCGCAGCATAGCATACCCTAGCATATCATAGCATAGCATAGCGCAGCATAGCGCAGCATATCATAGCATAGCATAGCATAGCATAGCGCAGCATAGCATAGCATAGCATAGCAGCAACGCAAAGGCAACCCAACAGCAGCAACAGCAACGCAAAGCACAAGCAACGCAAAGCAAATCAACAGCAAAAGCAAAGCAAAGGAAAGGCAAAGCAAAAGCAAATGTAGATGTAGATGTTGTTTTCCTAGATGCTCCAACTCCTAGGTAGGGTCTCACTGGGGTAATTTCTATACTGTTTCGACATCCTTTCGACACTTTTCCGTGTGCTCGAAATCATTTCTGGGATGTGGTCCTTAGGTACAATGAGAGCAACCTAACCCAATCCCCGAGTTTCGCCGGAACAGTTTGGCCGCGCAGAAAACGAGGGAAACCCTAGGCTACACCCCAAGGGGGCCATTCGGACGCACTACCATCGAGGATGAACGCCCCCCAATCGTCTATCCCAAGGTTGGGGCTCAAATTTCTGGTTCATTCGAAAACCTCACGATGTCTGGGATAGGGCTCGACATATGCCCTGTGATCCCTCTACCCTGAGATCCGACGCTCCCAGAAAGTTGGAGCGGCGGGAGTTTTTGGCCCGTTTTCGGCCTCCGGGGGCCCTCGCCGGGCCTCGGGAGCGTTGAGAAACGACTCGGGAAGAACAACTGGCCCCGGGGAGGTGGTCCGGACCTCCGAGGCCCACGCATCGAACAAAATTGGAGCATCCGGATGTCTGGGTATCGGGGAAACGTAAGCCGGAACTCGTGTGGCTGTCGGCGGAGGGCACGCGAGGGTAGTGGAATGAAACATGACACAAACATTCAAACTCGGAGGTCCGCGCTGATTTCTCGGATCGGCGCTGGGATCTCCCGGCGGCGCCTCCGGGAGTCCAGCGCCAGGGAGGCTGTCGGCGGCGGGCGCGAGGGTTAAGCAGGGCTCGTTTAGATTCCTCCGATTCGATTCGACTTCGATGGCCTCCGATTCCGATTCGATTCGACTTGGGGTTTCGATCTGGGTTTCGATTTCTTACTGGAGTCATACTAGCCTGTCGATTTTCGCCGATTCGCCTTTTCCCGACTCGGCTACCGATCTCCGCCGATCCGATCCATGTCGAATGCCAATCCGATTCGTCGATTCGAACAATGGCATAAACATTTAAACTCGGAGGCCCGCGCGGATTTCTCGGATCGGCGCTGGGACCCAAGGCGGCGCCTTTGGCGCCGCCTCTGGCGAGCTCCGCGCGCCAGGGAGTGGGTCCAGCGCGGATCCAAGAAATCCGTGCGGACCTCCGAGTTTTAGGTTATGTTATTGTTTGTTCTCTAAGAGGGTTAGTCGGGCATGCCACTCCATCGAGAAAGCGTAATACTCGAGTAAGCCGGAACTTGGGTTCGCCGACCTTTTTTGACGAGCGCGTCTGGGATTTTGACGGTCCAGTTCCCGTGGGATGTTTGCAGCAGGAGCTCGCGTCAGATTTCAGATTGCGTTTCGTCATTTTTATAATGGCCCCGTCAGGCCAACCCGAGTCCCCCGTACCCGAGTCCTACGTCTCCCCGACTCTACAGGAGGAGTGTGCAAATGTAGTCATCACATAGTCGGGGGGGGCTTTTCTATTGTGTTTGACTATGTTTGAGAATGTTGTGGCTGTTCTGATTTTTCATCTAAGAACCGCCTGTAGGAGGACATGCCCGACCTAGCACAACTGGGTCGGGCGAGAGGGGTGACCCTCCAAGAATAAGGCAAAAACGAAGGGCTCTTGAAATGTAGACCTGCCCGACGCACCCCCCCCAAAGGTGAACCCCCGCCCCTGCGCGCGCGGTCTGCATGTCAGGGTCCTCAGGTCGGGGTCTACATATCAGGGTGCTCAGGTCTCGCGGGGGGTGACATTTCAGGGTGTTTGTTGGTCGGATTCTACATTTGAGCCCCCTTGCGCGGGTCCACGTTTTGAGGTCCGTCTCGCGGGTTCACAGTTGGGGGGCTTTCAGCGTTTCGCTGAGCAAGGGGGGTCAGGCGAGCGGGGCAACCCTCCAATAAGCCAAGGCCTTCCCTAGAAGGGGGGGGGGGCCGTAACCTTTTCACGATCGAGCCGCCGAAACAAGGGCCGCTTTGGGTTCAGGAGGGGCTCGGATGCGACGGTCGCTTCTTGGGTCGAGGTTGGGGGCGCCTTCGTGGCCGAGCTTCGACGTGGCCAGAAAGGCCCCTTCGTTCCTCGTTCATCGTTCCCGATGATAACACGATGACTGTAGACTGCAGGACTGCAGGAGGCCTCACGGAGTGCAGAAGGGCTATCAAGAGGCCCCCCTTGCCCTCCAGGAGGCCTCGCCACCCCCCCCCGGGCGCGAGCCGCCAAGGCTGCGGGGCCTGCCTTTCACCTCCACGGAGCAGGACGTGCTCAGCTTCTTCTCCAAGTACGACGTCGTGGACACGATCCACAGCGGGCGCGACCCCGTCCAGCTCCTCACCAAGGCCAAGGGCCGCAGGTCGGGCCAGGCCATCGTGCGGCTGAACAGCCCGTCCGACGCGGAGAAGGCGCGGGACGTGCTGCAGGGCAAACTGATGGAGGCGCGCTACATCGAGGCTCGTGGGCGGGAAGCGGCTGTGCGGCAGGTCCGCGTCTTGTCGACGCGGCGGCGAACTCCCTGCGCGGGAGTTCGTGGTGGAACGCCGCCACCGGCCCCCCGCTGGCACCTGCCGCTGCCGCCGCCGGTCCTCCGCCTTCTCCTCCTCCTCCCTCCCCTACCTCTGGTAGTGACCCTTCGCCGCAGGGACCTTTGGTGTGCGGCCTCCGGGGGGCGCGGGAGGTCCCGGCCACAGGCGCAGGCCGCTGTTGCCGCACCGAGTGCCTTGATCGGAGAGCCGCGCACCAGAGGCCACGGAAGCCTTGGAGGCCGCTTTGGCGCGCAGCCGACGCGGCCCGCGTAGGCCGCCGCGTAGGGTCGCCATGCCATCTCGCGTGGGGCCTGTGTTCAATTGTCGCTCAAGTGGAGGAAGAGGGAGGAGGAGGAGGAGGAGGAGGAGGAGGAGGAGGAGGAGGAGGAGGAGGAGGAGGGGAGGAGGAGGAGGAGGAGGAGGGGAGGAGGAGGAGGAGGAGGAGGAGGAGGAGGAGGAGGAGGGGAGGAGGAGGAGGAGGAGGAGGAGGAGGAGGAGGAGGAGGAGGAGGAGGAGGAGGAGGAGGAGGGGAGTGAGAGGAGGGGCGGAGGGGAGGAGGAGGAGGAGGAGGAGGAGGAGGAGGAGGAGGAGGAGGAGGAGGAGGAGGAGGAGAGGAGGAGGAGGAGGAGGAGGGAGGAGGAGGAGGAGGAGGAGGAGGGAGGAGGAGTGGGCGGGCACCCCATGCACCTCCTCTCGTCGTGGACCAGAACACGACGGAAGGTATTTGGAGGAGGGCCGCTTCTGATCGTCGCCCAGGTCTTCGTCGTCGAGGGCGGCCAGAACCCGCCTGGGAAGCCCACGCCGGCGCCCACGCCGACGCCGGCGTGCGCCGACGCCGGCGGCCTGCGGGCGCCCGCGGGCGCTGGAGCCCGGCGGCCCGCGGGGCAGCAGCAGCGGCAGCCCGAGCGGCAGGCGCCGCCCGTCCCTGCCTCCTCCTGCCTCCCTCCTTCTCCCTCCTCCTCCCTCGTGCGCCCTCCTCCCTCCCTCCCTGCTCCTTCTTCCTCTTCCTTCCTCCTGCCTCGCTCTCCCTCCCGTCCTCCTCCCTCGGCCTCCGCGCTTCTCGTTATTCCCCTTCCTTCCTCCAGTTTTTTTGTCTCCCCCCCTCCGTCCTCCTCCCTCGCCCTCCCTCCTCCTTCCCCCTCCCTCCCTCCTCATCCTTCCTTTTCCTTCCTCCTCCTGCCTCCTGCCTCCTGCCTTCTCCAAGTGCCTGGTTCGGGCCCCAGGGGCCCGAAAAGGGCAAAAAACATTCCGTTGCGTTTTGGTACATGACGAGAGGAGGTGGGGTGCCCCCCCCCACTCAACCCCATCCCCATCCACCTCCGCCTCCTCCTCCTCTTTCTCCCCCTCCTCAACCACCTCGTCGTCGTCCTCCTCCTCCTCCTCCTCAACCACCTCCTCCTCCTCCTCCTTCTCCTCCTCCTCCTCCTCCTCCTCTTCCTCCTCCTCGTCTTCCTCCTCCTCCCCTCCTCCCCCCACGCTCTGCTCCTCCTCCCCCACTCCCAGGTGCCCGCCCCGGCGCGTCCAGCATCCCCGACGCGGCCGTTGGTTGCGGCGGCGGCGTGGGCGGCCATCGGCGGCATGAGCACCCCAGAGAGGCCCCTGGGGGAACGGGCATGGACCAGGAGGACGAGGAGGAGAAGAAAAGGGAGAACCCAAACAGAGGAGTGGAAAATGAAGAAAGGAATCATATGATGCTGTTGATGTTGATGCTGCTGATGATGATGATGCTGCTGCTGATGATGATGATACTGATGCTGATGCTGAGTATGCTGAAACTGGTAATGACGATTTCTGCTGCTGTTGCTGATCATGGTGATGATGATGCGCATGACGATTATGATGTTGATGATCATGCTGATGATGACGATGATGCTGATGATGACGACGACGATGTTGAGAATGATGATGATGATGATGATGATGATGATGATGCTCATAATCATGATGATGATGCCGATGCTGCTGTTGCTGCTGCTGAGGAGTATGTATGATGATGCTGCGGATGATGATGAGGATGATGGTGATGATGATGATGATGATGACGAGGATGATGATGATGATGGTGCTGATGATGATGTTGATGATGATGATGTTGATGGTGATGCTGATAACGATGATGAGGATGAGGATTTGGATGAAATGATGGCAGTGATGATAATGACTGTGCTGATGCTGGCGGTGATGCTTATGCTGCCGATGATGATGGCGACGATGATGATGATGATGGTGGTGATGATAATGATTATGATGACTATGAGGAGGAGGATGGTGATGGTGATGATGATGATTGTGTGATGATGCTGATGGTGATGAGTATGATGATTAGTATGATGACGATGATGATGATGGTGATGCTGGTGCTGCTGATGATGCTGATGATGATGCTGTTGATGATGCTGACAATGCTGATGATAATGATGGTGGCGATGATGATGGTGACGGTGATGGTGATGGTGATGGTGATCGTGATGGTGATGATAATGGTGATGATGGCGATAACCATGATGCTGCTGATGATGATGATGCTGATGATGATGATGATGATGCTGAGGCTGATGCTGCTGATGATGATGAGCATGATGATGACGACGATGATGGTGATGATGCTGACGATGGTCATGTTGATGATGATGATGATGATGATGATGATGATGATGAGGATGAGGATGAGGATGAGGATGAGGATGAGGATGAGGATGAGGATGAGGATGAGGATGAGGATGAGGATGAGGATGAGGATGCTGCTGATTGCTGTGGTTATGCTGATGGTGTTGCTGCTGATGATGGTTGATGGTGATGGTGATTGTGGGCATAATGGTGGTGGTTCTGGTGGTGTTGATACTGATGGTGATGATGATGACCATGATGATGAGGAGGAGGAGTAGGAAGAGGAGGAGTAGAAGGAAGAGAACAAAGAGGAGGTGGATTAGGAGAGGAGGAGAGGGAGGAGGAGGAGGAGGAGGAGGGGGAGCAAGAGGAGAGGAGGAGGCGGAGGAGGAGGAGGGAGGTCCAGACGGACCAGAAGGACTAAAAGGAGGAGGAGGAGAGGAGGAGGAGGGGGAGGAAGAGGAGGGAGAAGGGGTGGAGGAGAGGAAGAAGGAGCTGGAGGAGGAGGGACGAAAAGGAGGAGGAGGAGGACGAGGACGAGGATGGAGGAGGAGGGAGAGGGGAGGAGGAGGAGGAGGGAGGAGGAGAGGAGGAGGGGGAGGAGGAGGAGGAGGAGGAGTGAGGAGGAGGAGGAGGAGGAGGAGGAGGATGGAGGAGGAGGAGGAGGTAGGAGGAGGTGGGGAGAGGCGGAGCGGGGCGGAGGCGGAGGAGGAGGAGGAGGAGGAGGAGGAGGGAGGAGGAGGAGGAGGAGGAGGAGGAGGAGGAGGAGCAGGGGGGGAGAGGAGGAGGCGGAGGAGGAGGTGGAGGAGGAGGAGGAGGAGGAGGAGGCCCCGCCCCCCTTCGACGTTTGTGCTTTCAGGTTCGAGGAGAAGGATGGATTGGAGGAGGAGGAGGAGCGGTGTGCTGCGAGTGGTGTGCCGGGCCTCGCCCCGCCTGCCCACGCGTGGCTCCGCTCCACCCGCGCCCCGCCGCAGGGGTGTGCGGAAGAAGTGGTGCGACATGGTCAGCCCGGGCCCGAGCCCGCACGCCGACCCCCTCGCTTTTGCCGGGCCGCCGCCTGGGGCATGGGGCCACGGCGGCTCGCCGACGAAGGAGTCGGCGGTGATGGGGACGGTAATGACCCTATGCGGGAGGGATGGGTGGGGCGAGGGAGGGAGATGGAGGAGGAGTGTGTGGGAACGGGGGTGGGGTGGTGGAGGAGGGGGAAGGGGGTGGGCGTTGGGGGGGGGAGGAGGGGATGGGAGGAGGGTAGAGGAGAAGGAGGAGTAGGAGGAGAAGGAGGAGGAGAGGAGTAGTACAGAAGGGGAGGAGGAGGAGGAGGAGGAGGAGGAGGAGGAGTAGGAGGTGGAGGAGAGGGGGGGACGGTGGAGAAGGAGAAGGAAGCAAAGGGTGGAAGCCGGAAGAGAAAACCTGTCGAGGAGGAGGAGGAGGAGGTGGAGGAGGGGGCGAGGAGGAGGAGGAGGAGGAGGAGGAGGAGGTGAACAGCAATGAGCAGGACCAGGAGGCGGACAAGGAGGGCGCGGAGAGAGAGAGAGAGAGAGAGAGTCCCGTTCTGCGAACCACCTTTCTTCTCAGAGAGAGAGAGAGAGAGAGAGAGAGCATCGCTGGCCACTGGTCGATATCACGATATCGAGGTGCCGTGAGGTCGGGCTGTGAGCACACCGTGGGCCCGTCTCACCCCAGGAGGCCTGGACAAAAATGGCAGCGAGGCACGAGCAAAGGATGCACAAGAGCAAGATGGGGATGAGAGGATGTGAGGATTCTCAAGGGTGGGTCGGAAGTGAGAGAGAGAGAGAGAGAGATCCCCAAAGTCTAGATCTCCGCGCGAGGGCCGTCGGCCTGCACGGGGTAGCAGCGGTCGTGGATGCTGTTGCTCAACATCATCGGAGGAGGTGGATGGGGAGAGGAGGGGGATAGAGAGAGAGAGAGGTGCCCATCTATTCCCGCGGTACCACACGTGGTACTCGCACCCACGGATGGACGGGGACCTCAAGTCACTGGGCAGTGTCAAACCGACAGCATTCAGGGAGGGGGAAGAGGAATTGCCACGACTGGGAGCAACAGGAAGGGCATGGGACGGTGCGAGCGCACTGGTCAGCCATCCAACGACAGCACAGGGCGGACACACAAGCCTGACCAATCGGGCATCCTGAGAGGGTGGGAATGGGAACGGAGCGGACGGACTGACAGCTGGGCGCACTCTGGGCTCAGGCTGCCTGGGCTCCCAGGTCTGTGGGACCTCACAGGGTTGGGGGAAGGAGGGAGTAGAGGACGGATCCGTGGATAACATTGGAGGGTCAGTGGAGAGATGGTGGGAGGGGGAATAAACATCTGGGAAGCCATAAATATCAACGCGAATCCACAAGTTGGGCCTCGTAGGCTGGCGAATCGGATGGTCCTCTTCATCTGTTTACGTCCTTGGGAGAAATAGGTGAGGCAGGAGAGGCTAGGAGGAAAACCCTGCAGGCATCCGACGACGAGTGGGATGGAGGCGCCCATCGCGCCTGACACCATGTGCTGCACGGCAGCCTGCTCACGACTGTCGGCCAGGGTGAACGGGAGCTGGAAACAGTTGAGCAACTCCTGGGCATAGGGCACCTCACGGGTATGTGTCCAGTTGAGAGTCACATATGCTTTCAACACCTGTGATACCCGCCAATCATCCACTGGAAACGTGATCCATACTATGACCGCAAGCATGAAGCCTGCGATGAACGAACCAAGAAACAGCTTCATAGAGAAGCCTCCTTCGCACAACTCGTCATCGTGCATGTCTAGCGGCAACTCACAACTTAGGTCAGCATCTGTCATCCTCGAATTGATTCAGAGCGCTGACCCACCTATGATGTGCAGTACTTGCGAGATGCGCTTCTCCTTGGAGCTTGGAGCTGCTTTGTGAGGGAAGTGCGATTTGATGCACTTGTTGACCTGGCCGGCCACTGCCTTGTCACTCATGGCCTCCTCGAGTGTGGCCGCCGCCTGGCCCCACGTGAGCTTCGACGGGAGCATCCTCTTCTTGCCAATGATCGACTGGAGCCAGCCCACCTCCGCCCTGCTCATGATGTCCTGGGAGTCGGGAGGGCCCGCCACTGGTGTCGGCGAGCAGCCGCGACCCGCCTCCTCGGTCACCTTGGACTCCTTCGTCTCCTTCTGAGCATCGAGCTTGGAGAGGCGATCGCCGAAGGCCGACTTCATCGCTGCCGCCATGTACCCACCTTGGCGTCTCAGCTGCATCTCCTCGGCCCTGTCCTTCTTGTCCTTGATGAATACACTGTACTCTGGATCCCGTTCAGCGAGAGCATCTCGCATCTTCTGGATCTCCTTCTCCTTCTCCGACGGGGAGCGGGAACGGCCGACACCCCCAGCACGACGGACACGTTCACGACCACGATCATCGCGTCCATCCCCACGGCGGTCTGGAGAGCGTCGGCGGTCCCGATCACGGTCACGATCTCGATCGCGGTCGGAGCTGTCGCCGCGGCGATCCCAATCGCGGCGGTCATGCCCACTGTCACGATCACCTTCACGACGTGACCACTGGCCCCTCTCGGGGCACCAGTCGACTCGGCCACCGCCCCGACGGTCTCGGTCGGCATCGTAGCGTCGCCGAGGCTGGCGGCGCTCACCGCCACGACCGTCGCCGCCCATTGTCTTGGACAGGGGGGAAGAACTTGCGCCACCGACGCGTTGCTGCTCGAGCCTGCTGGATAGCCACGGCCCAGGGGGCAACCGTGCAGGGCTGTTTTGATGAGGCCCGCAGGGTGCCCCAGGAGAATGAGCTCCAGGGTCAACTCCAGGATCCAGGCCAGCGCAACAGGGGATGGTAAGGGACAGGTGTTGGGCACGGGCCAGGCGTCCAGAATATAGAGCAACAACCATCCCGAAGCCCCTGGGTGCATTGCCTGGCCAAGGGAGGATGTTGGATTTTGGGCGAGGTCCAGGATCACGAGCGATGAGCCAGAGCCTGTTGTCGCTCTTGGGGGCGATCCAGCAGGAGTCCAGTTGAGTCACAGTTTCAAGTCCAGCCATACGCAGGGGGCTTCGGGGTCCTCAAGGTCCGACGCGGGGGACAGCTTCACCTTATACACCAACGTGAGGTAGCCAAAAACACATGTTCTGCAATACGATCTGCTAACTCCTAGAATATCATCCACAGAACGACGTTGACGAAATTCGATAGAAAACGAGGATGTCGATGACGTAACACCTGACTGCACGAACTGCTCAGGCCGGCGTTGGGCCCGTATCTCATACCACGCCAGAAGTATAGAGAGAGCAACGCCAGAGAGAACACCACCTATCGGGAGGCCTCGGAGTTCGTATACTATGCCGCCAATCGTAACGAGCGAGAGCCAGCAGTAGGTGAGGAGGGTTCGACCAATGTCCGGGGTCGAGATCTTAAAATACGTGGGAGGCGTGCCCGACGTGAACGTGCGTGTCTTCACCTCCTTGCCTCGTTTGACGAGAGCTGCATCGGTGCCGATCTGATGGACCACTGCGGCAGACACGTCGCGCTAAGCTTCGGCGATGAGGTCTGCTCCACACTGCTCGTACGCCTGATCAGCGTCAGCAACGACGATGGGCACATTTTTGAGCACACAGCCGCACCTGAGACAAGTGTCGTTCGCTGGCGGCTCCAGTTCGGAAACGATGGCACGAAACTCGCGGGCTGCGTTCTGACGAAAGTCCACTTGCCTGCAGCAGGTGGCGCGAGGCCCGTCCAATATATCTGAAACCTTCCGTCCCAGGAGTGTCAGCCGAATTCGCGATCCTGCGCGTGCCGCTATGCCCAGGCTTCGAACAACATCTAGTACCATGATCCAGGAAACATTTACTCTTTACCGTCGGGAAAACATACGGGGGATTCGTCTTCTGGGAAGGTCTAGGCACCAGGTTTCCTTTACGTAGCCAAGTAGGTAAGCCTTGATAAGCAGGAGTCCAAAGCCAAACAGCCGCATCATATCTAGATATGTCATATCTAACAGTCCATTCAGCATCTAATTCAGCAGTCTGATGGAGCCAACGAACAACATCGGGACCATCAGCCATCCAGGCTTTATCCCCTTGCTTGTCATCAGCAATGATAATCTTGCCGTCCGCTTGGGTCACCGAGGTCTGGGGGGTCGATTCCAAATCTCGCCATTTAGTCGGTGGGGGTCCTCGTGGGTCCTGGTGGGAGCCTGCTGTGGATGAAAACCTTTTTGTGATGTAGTCGGGGCCTTTTCGGATCTGATGCGGGCCCAAGCGTGCTGCCTGTGTCCACTCAAGTAGAGCCGCCTTCGCAGCCCTCGCGGAAACTCTGGGGCTTGCCAGACTGGTAAACGCCAACAGCCAGGAAGAGCACGAAGAAAGAGAGGACCTGAGATGAATTGGGGGTCGGAGACAGGGGCGGGGAGGCATTCTGACTTGTACTCGGCGCAGAACCTGCTAGCAGAAACTTTATCCTTCCAGATCCGTTGGCCGTGGAACGCGACCCGAGTGGGTCTCTGGTACCACAGTCTGGCTCGGGAAAACATCATGCTGTTGATCATGTGTGTGATCGCACCACGGGCAATGTACTGGTACTCACACATCTTAAATTCATGCGGTAGGCGGAGCACCTGGCACCTGGCAGCTGGAAGATTCAGCGTGCAGAGGTGTCGATTGATGTGAAACCGAGCCATGCGCTGCCTCGTAAATTCAGGAAGAAAGAGTTGACATAACCTTGCTGCCTTGAAATATATAACACCTTGTTCCACACGCGAGATATATCTGCAGAAAGGGAGGGGTTTCCATTTCCCAGATAAGTAAGCTAAGAGTAATCCCAGGCGGGGGGGTTTCAGCAGCCACAGTGGACCCTCCTGCTGGGTAGGATGAAAGTGCTCACGGATCTATAAAACATACAGTTCGCCATACGGCGCAGACTCTGATAATGCACCTGGAAACTGGGCCAGAGGGCCTCGAACCTGAACCACTGGTAGTTCTGATACTGCGGGGGCAGCTGACAACCAGGCAGGCGGGGGGATCCGTCGGGGAGGTCGTCGTCTCCAGGATGGTGGGCGTCTACGGGGCTTCTTCTTCTTGGGGGCTGAGTAGAGGGTCCCGAGGCCTCGTCT